AGGTATACGGAGCAAGAGAGACGTCCGACCTGTTTAACATAGGGGCGGCCATTTTTATACAAGATTACTAGTACATAGGTGACCAGAAATACAGCAATATGAAAACTTGGTTGCAGATGTCTAGGTCTTTTCACTTTTAAATACATCATTTTGTACAGATTTTTTAAAAGAAATTATACAATATTATATCTGAATTAAATTTTTATTCTACAACAAAAAACATATTTTAATGTTTAAAAATATATGTTAGGCTGATAAATAATAGGCCGACAAATAATAGATTAAATACCTAAATACTAATTTTAAATGACAAAAGTACAGTAGAGGAAGTTAAAAATATTAAAATTTCCAGGATACTTTAAAATTAAATTGATGGTTGCATATTTGTGTTATTTTAAACAATTTACTTTCTTCTTGTATAATTTCTAAAAGCTACAAATTTTTAGTGAACGGGTCGTCCATGGGTCCTCCTTATTGATTGTGCAGTGAATTGTACTAACAACTTAAAAGAAATTTTGTCCAATCTCTATATGGCAGATAACCTCAATAAGAAACGATCTGCTTGTTTTGGAACCCTAAAATAGTATAAAGTCACTTCTTTCATATCCTTTATTTTTGCTAAATCTTATTACTTACTTGTGGAATGTAACATTTGAATCTATTGGCAACAGTCTTATGTTCTTGCAAGATCTTACAAGACATCTTGAATAAAGCCCAGTATAGAGAACTTATACTGGGATTAAAGTCTATTCACAAATGTTAAAATAAATAAAACGTTTATACACTTAGAAAATAATATCCACAATCAAAATATTCTAAAATAACACAAAAAAATTTAACCAAATTCACAAACACATTAAAATTTGACACTTTTGACAGATGGAAAGATAAATTGGTTGCATAAGTTTCAGTTTGTTTATATAAAAATGGCGGTCATTTCTATCTTCTTTTATTAAACACTCAGTAAAGATGCGCAGAGGGTTTTACGCCGTATACCTATTTAAGTATGTGCAGGATACCTATTCTCTAGGTGCGTTTTAGGGTCTATTTATACTCCCTTATTATTAGTATTTGCATTAGTATTATGATTAAGCATTAAGTTGAACCTTCACAATGTAATGGGGACATTTATACTCGATTTATGATTAGTATTAGCATTAATATTTATGCTTAATAATTGACAGGTTTAACTTTTAAATTAAATATTAAATTTCTTCTTTTCTATAAATAATCAATTGCGTATTTGGCCTTTGTTTTTAATAGACAACGGATAAGGATAATTGACAATACACATATGATTATGTTGTTTATATGTTTGTTCCAACAAGCTCGAAAATGATAATATTTCGGTACAAATCATGCTCTATATACAATTTTTGTGTATCAGCAGTGTTTACCGATTATAAAGTTGACAAATGACATGTCACCATGAGGAAGCAAAGGCCTCTTTTCTGTCTGATTTGTATCAAATTTCTGCTTCTTTTTATTTGTTATAAATTTGAGTTTTAAATCCGTTAAAATGTCCTTAATTAAACCTATTTTTGAATACTAATATTTTTAAATAAAACTAACTAGTAAAAATATTAATAGGAACACATTTAAAACTCAAATATCTTAAAAGAACACAACCGGCCTCTTACACATTTCTTCAGTAACCACATATTTTGTTGACTGCAGAATTATATCTTATTAGGTATTAGGTTTAAAAAAGAATTACTAATACTAATTATAAAACGAGTATAAATACCTTTTTTGAATGATTTAACAAATTTAATGCTTAATCATAATACTAATACAAATACTAATACTAAGGGAGTATAAATAGACCCTTAATCATCCGCTTCTGCTTCGGAATTGTCGGTTAAAACAGGTTAAAACGACTAAACCGACAATTCCGGAAGCAGAAGCGGATGATTCACGGGGGATGGATTCCGTGTAAATAGTTGGTAACAAGTTTGCTTGACCTCGACAGTAGCGCGCTAAGCGCTTACGGTTGAACTACACCTGTCAGTTTCAGTCGATAAAGTAGAACACTACTAATTGAAGCGGTTTAAAAATTGGCGGGCTTGATAATTTAGATATTTGAAGCAATTTAAAGTAGCATTTTTCTATTTGACAACTTTTACTTACAACTACTAAACAAACAATAAGTTTAGTGAATTTTTGTTGTAGGTAAATGTTGAAAAATGGAAAATGTCACTTGTTATAACTGAAAAATAAAATTAGTTGAAAAATAAAACACATTTTTAACAAGTTTAATTTATTTAGAATTACCATGTAATTACATGTGTCTCATTATCTTCTAACTGCATATTTTGAACATAACAAGCACTATATCACACACTAAATTACTGAAAAATAAAAATATAATATGATAACCAGCATAGCACATGACAATGTTTTTATTATTAAAAAAACCGGATATATCCCTTATTAATCCAAGGACAAATCATTCTAATTCTAATATTCTTATACTTATTGTCCCTTTAGGCTTTTTCCATCTATTTCAATCTAGAATAGTTGTAATGCCTATTTCGGTTACAATAAGCCTCCAGCTTCAATAAAGGTGGGCTTTGAAACTCACCCTAATTAAGAAACACATTTATGCACATTCCAAAAATCTCCATACCGGGGAATATCTAAAACAAAACAAAAATAAAGGTGCAGTGTGTATCTTAAAATTAAAAATAAACACGAGTCATAACCTTTTTAAATTCTTACAGTTTTCTTGCAATAAAAGGTATTAAAATTTCAATAATAATAGAAAACATCTGATTTATGATCTTAATAGGTGAACTATGCAAAAATTAACAAGTTGACCTAAAAAGCATATAAGTTTTTGAACATATTTGGGTATTATTTGATAAATATAATAATGAATATCATCCAAAAATTGAACAATAACTTTTTGAGCACAAATCATTCGCCTTTTTTCATCATGGTCTTTATGAGTAAAACTAAGATCAAGTTCTATCTCAGGTTCTACAATATTTGTTTGTAAATTGGCTTCACACATTTAGCTCACAACTCCTTTCATTTTTTTAACCGCAAATGTTTAAAATGTGGATCCATTTATCTCTAGAGTAATAATAGCAGGAAAAACAAACTTTCTTGTTAGTCTTGTGAGAAAAATACTTAGGTACTTCTGCAATTAAAATTTAAATGAATCAGAAGTTAATGATTTTCTTAAGAACCTGCCTATAGTTAAATTAGTTAAATCTAACTTACACTTAATTAATACAATTTACTCACCTACATTTGAAAAAAATATCACCTGCATTTGAAAATGAAAATAATCAGGCTGACATATTTATAGCAACATAACCTAATTTATTTTCAAAGCCAGATTTACACCACCTAATAAATTTAAAGTTAATTTAAATTTAGCTTTAACTTTAAATTTATTAACGATTATCTCTGTATTTGATCACACATTATAGCAAAGTGAAATTTAAAGGGGTAAATCAGTAAAATTATTGATTTCTTTGTCATTATTTTTGAAAACATATTTTTTTATGGGTGTAAAACGGGTTTGAATTTAGTGATAGCAGCGCGCTAAGCGCTTACGGTTCAACTACCAACAAGGAAACAAATCCCGCCATTTATTCAAACCTTCTCTTTTTATTTTTCTATGGGATGATTAAAACGCACCTTCTAACTCATGGGAGCACTCCCACACTCCCATGCCAACGTTGCCAAGTCGACAGAATAACTTTTATCTACTATTTAAGGACCGATCCACCGTTGTGTTAAACGAAGTTTAAAATGACATTTTTACATTAACAATGTAATTTTAATCTCCGTTTAACTCAACGGTGGAATCGGCCCTTAGTAGTTCAAATTTGCTTTGTGATAAATACGGACCTAATCTGGCAAGCCCGCAATTCTCCCTCCCATAGTATAAAATCTGACCTTAGAACAGAAGTAAAAGTTGGAAATGCTTTTGCCAGTTCTCCCACTTTATACACATAAATTGAAAATTGACAGGTTGGCACCGGATCTCACCGAACTGGACGCGATACATTGGCGTACAAAATACATGTTTAATAATTATTTATAATCCATAAGTACATGCGATTGTCCGGTTCCGCCGATAACAATTTAAAATTACTTATTCTATGAAACGACACTGGCAGGTAAACATTACTGTGAAATTCTCGGAGCCGCCCGACATGGTTTGACGTTTACCCCCTCTCTACCCACCAAAAGACTTTTCAACTTTTCTTTCTCTATTGCTGCGTTTGAGAATCCACATCGGATGCATCTGAGATGTAAAAAATCTTTGATCACGTGATGCAGTATACGTAAATGTAATGGGACAGACGTGTCCGATGTGGATAAAAAAACGCTCGAGATGTAAAAAATGCATCCGATGTGGATTCTCAAACGCAGCATTTATCAGATCAGTGGCCTAAAGCAGTGTTGCCGATTTGCGTATAATTATACGATTTTCGTATATTCTAACTTGCCAGCGTATCTTTTTCTAACTCTTTGAAATTCCGTATAATTGCCGTATATTCTGGAAAAAAACTATGGATCTTTTTGGATTTCCATTTATTTTAGAAATAAGTTTAGGCACTTCTGAGTTTATTTGGATAACTTAGTTTTTCCAGTGTGTCTTCTGCTCTACTTTTGTTAAACAGTGGCTGACTGGTAGCTAGCTGGCTGCTTATTTTAGAGAAAGCCACATTGACAAATGAAAACAGGCCCGAAACCGGGTATTCACCGAACCGATATTGTTCGCATTATTGAAATGTACTTTTCTTTGGAACTTTTTGCTTTTGGCAGTCTATCATCTGAATGAATCTGCATTGCCACAGTTATTTTCTCGGCAGTCCCCTTTCTCACAAACCTAAAGCCAAACCTGGCAGCAACACAAATTTGATATCCTCAAATGCAAAGATGTGCGGCTACAAAGCTAAATCTGCAATTCGTATAAAACGCGTATCTTTTGTACCCAACCATCGTATAATTTCAAATTTGGGTATTGGCAACACTGGCCTAAAGAGAAGAATTAGCCACCGCATGCGCAAAGTGAAAGCGCACAACCCAAAAATTATTTCTGTTTGGCTTGTTTGGTTTGTCTTTAATTTAATTTGTTGTAAATGGCTAAATAAATGGAATATATCCGCTATGCTGTGGAAAATGATTTTGTTTTGATCTTTGCTGCATGGTGTACATATGGTTGTTATACTTTGCTGTTAGCTCTTGTCTTGTCTAATAAACGGCAAGTGACTTCAAACTTTTATAACAATAATTGTCTACTAATTTTATTTGTAGGTGATATAGGAAGCTTTAAGATAATTTATGAATTGAGGAACATATTGGGATTAAATCTTTTAAAATGGACCAGGACAATCAAGACGAAGAATGTCTCACACTTATTCCTGATTTATATAAAATATGTCGTTCTTGCCTTAATAAAAATGGGTCAATCAATCTATTTCGTACGGAGTATAAAGGAATACTGTTATGCGACTTATTTTCAGTGTTTTGCAAAGTAGATGTAAGTAGAAATATAAAATATCTACCAATTAAGTACTATAAGTCCCCTATGGGGATATTCAGAATGTAGAACTCCTTGCCCATTTAAAGAGTAAACATAACCATTTGATATCATGTATAATACCTAAGCTAAAGATGGTTCAGCTTTTCTGCAGGTTGTCCTGATAACAATAACTTTTTTCTCCAATCGTAAAAACAGATATTCTTTAAAGTAAAAATACCTATATAAAATACAAGAACCCTTAGATGCTGTATGGCCACAAACTGTTCTCCCCTGGCAAGGATTTCTGTTAATGTTTTAAGAATAGTCAGGATATTAATGAATAAGATTTTATTATTTTCTGGTTGATACTCATATCATTCGATCTTGGGTGAAAGTAAACCCCTTCAATAATAAATGAAGGATTATTATATTTTTATTATTTCAGGTGAAAGAATCTGATGGTTTTCCTCAAAATATTTGTGAGGATTGTGCTGATTTTATTATACAATGTTACATATTCAAAGAAAAAGTGCAAAGTTCCCACTTAGCTCTAGAAGATGCTTTAGATAAAAAAAATTATTTCCTTAAGAATAAAACACAACAAGTATCAAAAAATGATTGTAGAGATAACACTTATGCAATAGAAGAAACATTAGATATTATCACTAAAGAAGAAGTAGAAGAAGTGGAAGAAGAAGAAGAGTTTCTTCAAAATGATGAATGTTTTACAGATAATTCACAATCTTCTAAATGTGAAATTCCAGATAATGCCAAAACTACAAAAATTGATAACAATAACACTCTTACTTGCTCATTTTGTAGAATAAGATTTACTTCTGAATCCATCTACACATTACATATGGATAAGGAGAATGAATTAAGAAAGGAAGAAACTTGTAAAGTATGTGACCAGTTAGTTTCTAAACCAAAATTAAAAGTGCACGTTCAAGAACATGCAAAAAATAATGAAATTGTATGTAAAGTATGCAGCAGGACTTTTTCTCACCCTTGGCATTTGGCAAGACACTTGCCCATTCATTTTAAAAAATTGAAAGAGCAATGTCACGTTTGTGGTAAAAGTAAGTTTATTTTGTTAAAACAATATATCATTATTGTTAATAATAGTGATAAATGAGCCGATAAACTGATGAGATTGATCTAACATTGAAAAGTTGCCTTCATTAACTACAACATACCTGTAAACATCTTATAAATAGGCATTCCAAGCAAAAGAACTGTCTGTGGGAAGGGTTAATACAATTAAATAATAAGTTTACATAAATAAAAGGTATAGTTACTACTTTTAGTCATATATTACATTGAATATACAGTACTTATTATTTTTTATCAAGCATAACTGTGCTTTTATAACATTCATGTGGCAACTACAATATCCCATATCTTCTAACTCTTGTCGACAACTGGCTGTTGTCCTTTTGCCATTTTATTAACTTGTATACTAGTCATATGCCTAACACGAAAAAGTAAGCACTTTCAGAAGGTCTCCCTATTATTATTACTATCTATAATGCTTTGCCTGAAGAACTAAAATTATAAGCAACATACAAATCTTTAAAAAAAAAACTGTGATATAGGTCTGCAAAAGTAAATTTTACATTATATATGTTGTAGGACTTGCCTTATGTATCTTTTTATGTAATTAAGGTTAATAAATTATTCTATTCTATATATTTTTGGTCCTACAGTTGTGAGAAATCTTTGGTTTCCATCATATTTAAAGTACGGAATATTTAATATTTTTTTGCTTCTGTGCTTGGTAAGATATGTGTGATTTATATAATTTTTATTTGTAATTTTAAAAAAGAACATACAACTTGCATGAAAATATATTGATCTAACGTTAAGGTTATGGTCTAAGATCCAAAGTAAGGTCGACCTTCACCCATCTGTTTAATGGATGAAAGTTTCTTTTTATTATTAATTAAAATATATTATTATTATTTCCTTTATTTAGCTAGTTTGCTAATATCACAATATACAAATTTAGTAAAAATTTACATATACATATAAGTCAAAACATAGATAATTTAGATACAATTAAAACTAACTAAAATTCTATAGGTTGTTACTGTTTCTGGAGATTTTTTTTTTAATTTGGTGTCATCGGCGTCGACTACTACAGCCATTTTTGTGTTTCAATATAAAAGTTATTTCTGTTCTGCATTGAATAATTGTGCACATTAGAGTGATAATTTAACTTCTCTTTTAGGTACATTGGAAATAACCCGTGTTTGATTTTATAAATAAAAATTAACGCATTCCGTAATAAGAGACTTTTGATTGGCATCCACCTCAAAGTTTCAAGCATTAGATTAATGGAAGTATATTTTGAACAGGATAATATTATTCGCATAGCCCTATTCTGCAGCTTCTGTAGTCAGTTCAACTCATTTTGATTTAGTAAAAAAAGTATTGTAATGAAGTCAATTTTTCCTCAATCAGTTTATTTTAATTTTTCATTTTTTAATAAATATTGAACGCGATTGAAATGGTCCTGATCTTAGACAGATGCGCATTGCCGATCGACATATCGATAGTGATAAATTCTGTACCAGCCCAAGCAACGATTAAAGCCCGTTACTTGTGGCCTACTATTACCTGTGTCTAAGTGACCTTTGACCCCTGGAATTTTTCATCTCCATCTGTAGCTACCCGAATACTTTCGACGCCGCTTCGAGAGTTTGTGGAGTAAACCATAACCAAAAATCTGGCGCTCGAGAACCGCCCGTAACCAGCGCCATTCGTAAAGAACCGTTTTCTCTGTGGCGAGAAAGCCCCTTACAGTATTGTAGAGCAATAATTAAAGTGAGGTAGAATTATAGTATTATATATAATACATTTAGTCCACTGTGATAAGCCAATGAACTTTTAAATAGGAAATTTAATGCGTATCAAATACAAAAATGTACCTACTAAATATTACAATATATGCACATGGTGCTTATATTTATATCACCATCTTAATTTATTAAAGTAAAACTGTAATATTGTAACTATAAATTTTAATAATATATTAGTATGTAATAAAATAGATTAAGAAAAAGATGTTGGCCCCAAAAAATTCCAGGTCTACACGACGATGTGGTGGAGCCGCGTGAATTTGGCCCACCTTCCAACTTAGGAATTCGATTCCGACTTAACCACGAGGTTGCAATTTTTTTTTACGAAGGTGGCCTAAAGTTGCAAATTAGTTGCTAAATTATGAAAAAGGTTTGAAGGCAATACGACGATGTGACGGGGCCGCGTGAATTAAGTCACAACAATTTAGGAATTCGCTTCCGGCGTAACCACGAGGTGACAAATTTTTTCACAAAGGTTGCCTAAAGTTGCAAATTAGTTGCTAAATTATGAAAAAAATTTGAGGTCACTACGACGATGTGGTAGGGCCGCGTGAATTTGGCCCCACCAACTTAGGAATTCGTTTCTGGCGTAACCACGAGGTTGCAAATTTTTTCACGAAGGTTGCCTAAAGTTGCAAATTAGTTGCTAAATTATAAAAAAACATTTAGGTCTCTACGACGATGTGGTAGGGCCGCGTGAATTTGGCCCCACCAACTTAGGAATTCGTTTCTGGCGTAACCACGAGGTTGCAAATTTTTTCACGAAGGTTGCCTAAAGTTGCAAATTAGTTGCTAAATTATGAAAAATGTTCGAGGTCAATACGACGATGTGGTGGGGCTGCGTGAATTTGGCCTCACCAATTTTGTTTTAGCGATTAGAACAAAAATGTAAGGTTGCAAATTTTTTTATACCGGTTGCCTAAAGTTGCAAATTAGTTGCTAAATTATGAAAAAGGTTCGAGGGCAATACGACGATGTGACGGGGCCGCGTGAATTAAGCCCCAACAACTTAGGAATTTGCTTCCGGCGTAACCACGAGGTTGCAAATTTTTTCACAAAGGTTGCCTAAAGTTGCAAATTAGTTGCTAAATTATGAAAAAAATTTGAGGTCACTACGACGATGTGGTAGGGCCGCGTGAATTTGGCCCCACCAACTTAGGAATTGGTTTCTGGCGTAACCACGAGGTTGCAAATCTTTTCACGAAGGTTGCCTAAAGTTGCAAATTAGTTGCTAAATTATAAAAAAAATTTAGGTCTCTACGACGATGTGGTAGGGCCGCGTGAATTTGGCCCCACCAACTTAGGAATTCGTTTCTGGCGTAACCACGAGGTTGCAAATTTTTTCACGAAGGTTGCCTAAAGTTGCAAATTAGTTGCTAAATTATGAAAAATGTTCGAGGTCAATACGACGATGTGGTGGGGCTGCGTGAATTTGGCCCCACCAATTTTGTTTTAGCGATTAGAACAAAAATGTAAGGTTGCAAATTTTTTTATACCGGTTGCCTAAAGTTGCAAATTAGTTGCAAAATATTGGTACAACTTTGGTGTAATTATCATAACATGGTAGGGCAAACTTCACGCACGTTATATCTAGTGCTCTTTTTTTATTCAAGTGGCGTATTTCCTTTTTCTTATTTTTTTAATTTAGTGCCGTAGTAGTTATAGTAGAATAGTTAGTGTATAAGTTTAGTTATAGTATTTACATAGTTAATTTAGAAATAAAAGTGATTTGGACGATATGGCTCCGAAAAAAATTGGCAGAAGGGGACAGTTGAAAAAAATGTAACGTCTGGTAGTCGTAAAGCGGTTATGATTAAGTGGCTACAGAAGAATAGCATCCCGTTTAACGACAAATTGACAAAACCAGAATTATACAAAATTATTCAAGAACATAAACCACAGTTTCCACCTGTATACGTATTTGATAAGCTGTTAGAAGAACACGGACACAAAGTTCTTCGCCTGCCACCATATCATCCAGAACTTAACCCTATTGAAAAAATATGGGTCTTTGTTAAAAATTGGGTGGCATCTCACAATACAACTTTCGTGTTAAACGATGTAGTAAGTTTAGCACGAACGAAATTTGCTGATGTATCCATAAAGGAGTGGGCTAACATATGCAGCCATGTCAAGAAGTATGAAGATGCTCAAATCGAATAGGAGCATTTATTGAACGCAGCCATGGATACCTTGAAATTTACTGTTAACACTGGTTCATCAGAGGAAAGCTTTACTGAAGATGATGAGAGTTCTGATAGTTTAGGAATAGAATTTTTAGATTAAGAATCGTCCGATGAGGCATCGTAGTGTATATTTTTATTGTTATTTCTAATTTGTACCTTTCTCCTCTTATGTATTAAATGTCTATAAAGAAAAAAATTACGTTAATTTAAGTATCTAGTAAAAGTAATAAACCAACAATTTTTAAAAATTATCCTTTTATTTTAAAAACTTGCTTATGCTAATTTTTTATAAAGTACCTCTTGCTACGTAGGTATATACATGTACTTTATTGCTGTTAACAAGTTTTCCAAAACTACATTTTATGACAAACTTACAATAATTTAAAATATACGCTGCGTAAGTTAGGTTGTTTAGTGGATACAATTAAGTACATTTAGTAACCTGCATGTGTATTCTAAATTAAAAAAGCATAACAACTTACGTACCTATTGTACAAAGCAAATTAATTACCTTTCGAATTTTCATAATTACATGCATAAAAAAGTATTTCTATTTTTCCATTTATTTTCGTCCCCCGCCACTGACAAACAAAGCCCGCCTATATGCGCAGATTAGTATGCAACAGTGTTGCCAGTCTAGTACACTTGTACTAGATCTAGTACATTATTTGAGAATCTGGTACTTTAATACACTCAAAGGAAAATCTAGTACTTTTTTCAGCGTATGTTCCATTTGAAGTGTAAAATATATTGTTCAAATATTGCCAGAGAAATTAAAATAGTTGTTAAAAATTGCTTCAGATATCAAATAGTAGACATTTCTCGAGAGATCAAATATTGTTCAAAAATAGCTGGAGAGGTAAAAAAGGGTGTTAAAAATTGTTCGAAGGATAAAATAGTATTGGAAATTGCTTGAGGGGTGAAATATTGTCCATAAATTGCTTTAGGGATAAAAATACTGTTAAACATTTAATGAGAGAAGAAAAAAATTTAAAAATTGTTCGAGAGATCAAATAGAATTATAAATAAAATCGTGTTCAAAAATTGCTCGAGGTAAAGTAGTATTACAAAATGTTAAAACCTTGTTTAAAAATTGCTTGAGAGATAAAATATTGTTGAAAATTTTATTGAGAAATAAAATATTGTTTAAAATTGACTCGAATATTGTACAAACATTGCTCGAGAGATAAAAAAGTTGTTTAAAAATCACTAGAGACATAAAACATTGTTAAAAATTTATCGAGAGTTAAAATCTGTACCATCTGTGAATAAGTCGGTAAGTCAAAAATTGAAGTTTTTCAGTATGGCCATTTTAAACAACATTTTGATGTTTTTGAAAAACAAATTTTAGGTTAAATTTCGTTTTTTGAAATAGGTTGTTAATTATACAACCAACAATGTAAATAATTATGACCTGTGAAATTATATTACTTAATGGAAAAAATCTGACTTGCCTATTAATTTATTGACCTCAAATGTGTGTGTTTTTGTTGAGTTACTGACTTATTCTAGTATAAATAAACAGGACAAAATTTTTTTAATATTTTTATTTATTCATGAAAAAAGCAAAGAGAACTTATTTCAAATAACATACATTTTGATTGGAAAAGAAAACTAGAAAACGACTGATAATTTAGATAAACCTCTTCCAAATCCGGGGATAGCTATAGTTACCGGTTTTGGCACAAAAAAATGGAGAAATCCAACTATTCACGGAGTCCTCTGAAGTAAACTCATGGAGGAAGCTATTAAGAATTTGAATCACCCATTTATTCACCAAACAGAATAGGAAGAGCACTTTAGATATTTGTAGATATTATATTTTTACTAAAATTTGACTTATCCACTTATTCATGGATGGTACAGAAATATTGTGCAATTTGCTAAAAAGATAAAAAAAAAGTAGTTCAACATTCCTCGAGAGATAGAATAATGTTAGAAATTTATCTATAGATAAAATATCATTAAAAATAGCTAATAAAGGTTTAAAAATTATTCGAGAGATAAAATAGTGTTATAAATTGTTAAAATTTTGCTCAAAAATTGCACGAGAGATCAAATATTGTTCAAAAATAGTTTGACAGGCTGTTTAAAATTGCTCGAGTGATTAAATAGTGTTAAAAATTGTACAAGAAATATTGCTCGAGAGATAAAAAAGGTTTATAAACTGTTTGAGAGATAAAATATCATCATAAGTTATTAAAATCTTTTTCAAAAATTGCTCAAGAGATAAAATAATGTCAGAAATTTGTCGAGAGAAAAAATATTGTTTAAAATTTTTGTATTCGTGTTCTCTATAAGCCTTTTTTTGCTCTTTAATGACCACCCTTCATAATTAGAAAATCTGGTAATTTTATAGAATCTAGTACATTTTTATGTAATCTGGTACATTTTTTAGAAAAATCTGGTACATAACAAAAATATATTCTGGCAACACTGGTATGCAACCAACATTTGCTGTCCCAAACTTAAGTTTGTTCTACTCTACTATTAATTACAAATGTTTGTATGACCCTCAAATAAGAGTTATTGCCCTTGCAAGCATTTTGTATTCAACCTTTTATTCACCATGGGTTTTCGAGAAAAAAAAAATGTCAAAATAGTCACCGGAACAAAACAAAAAAGACTGAATTACGACGAGCCATTTTTTTCAGTCATGAGGGACTTTTACATGCAAAAACGGGACAGAAGTTCCAACCAAAAAAAAGCATTACCACAATATTTTTTTATTTTCTAAAATATTGAAATATCTATTATTATGTATTATATTTTAAGGACGCATCCATATATTTAATTTTTATCTTTTAAGCCATTAATAAACAAAACATGGAAGATCACATAAGGAATCATTATGGTGAAAAAACTATTTCATGCGAAATTTGTGATGAAAAATTTGTAACAAGTAAAGCATTATTGAGGCACAAGTATGAACATAAATTAGCAACTGGCGAAGTTAAACCTCAAGTAAGTACAATTATAAATGCCCACAAAGTAGTATTTTTAAGTCCTAGTTCTATTTTACCTCCAATAATATTGAGTGATCCACAAAAAATATTTCTAGGCCATGACTGACTGGATAGGAGTCATGTCCTTGATAACTACGAACACCTTTGGATGAGATGAAAACTCATTAAAAAAGAAAAATTGTACGCCCGACGATTTTTTCATGGTCTACTTTAGAAACATTTTTTTGTAGATCACTTCATATCGTGATACAAAAAATTACAAAGGTATGATACTTAGCCTACGAAATCTCGTCTAGTTCGCAAATTACGTATTGTGGTGTGGAATATAATCTGATTGGCCGTGAGCAGATTGAAATTTATTTTCGATCAGCTGATACCTTCTATCTATCTATCTGAATTAGGGCGTGGTTTAAAGCCCACTTGTACTGAAGCTCTAGGCTTATTGTACCCCTCACAGTTTCTATCCCATCAGATTGATTTTCTTGATGAATTCAAGAATATATCTTTCGCGATTTCCTCAGGTTCCGGACATTGTACCCCTAAGTACCATTCCCGTTCCCGTCCCCACAATACTTCAAGGTGACGTAATATCAATCTGCATAATACCATACCTTCTTTTTAAGACGACATTAAAAACCGCCGGAACCTCGGAAGCGTTCGGCACTTTGCAGAGATGTTCGGTAGATTTAGTTTGGTGGAAATTTTGAATGTGTGCTTCCTACCATGGTATAAACAATAAATGGTAGGATATCAACAGTGTTAAAAATGGGACGTCCCGCGTAGAGTTTGTATAGACGCGAATTTAAAAATACTGACGAAGTGTGAGGAAAGTATATGCTGTTTACAGAAATTTCATGACTATTAAAGGATAATATTTTAGAACTCTCTAGGCTTTCCAGAACGATCGACTATGACTCATACGACGCAAAGGGATCAATCCGGTACTTTCTCGAAGCGGTATGTCTGTCTCTATATTGCCAGCCCCGCTAGACTTCATACCGCGGGCAACGAGTAAACAAAGCACAGGGTTGGCTTTTTCGCGACAATATAATAATTTAACTGTAGGGTCTATCCATTTATAAAATGTGACTAATCCATTAAAGTTTTCTGTTATAAGTAATAATAACATAAAAATGTACATGTATCTTTTACAGATATGCAAAATATGTGGCAAAGTTGTAAAGAGAAGAAGACTTTCGACCCATATGGCGAGTCATAAAAGAAGAACTTTGTGTAATGAATGTGGTAAAGAATTTACAGAACGAGGCAACTTAAAAAGGCATATCGAAAACGTACATAGGAAAATTAGACCTCACAAGTGTCATATATGTAACGCAGCCTTTGGCCAGAAAACATCATTAATGGTTAGTTTATTAAATAATATACTTTTTCAATGTCGCCCAATTGCTTGATATTAAATTTCAACCTGTGTTAAAATTGATATTTTAAATGTCGTATGAAGATATTATAGTAGGATAACGCTCTAGTAAAAAGCATTTGAGGCAATCTCGCGTGGCATCTAGTGACGTTCTTATGAAGTAGACAATTTTTATGCTATGCAGATACATCTTCTTTTCGACGAGGCATGTGGCCTCTACTATGTAATTGCGCTCTACTCCTTACTAGTAAATTCAAAACTTTTAAAACGTATCTTTATTTATTTAAAAATAACTGATTCATGATATAAGACATAATAAATTAAACAGAAAAATGAACTCTTATTTCAATTAGCAAAACCGTATAATTACAATTTGGATGAAGGATTTCAGTCAATAATTTTGTTTCTACCTATTTAAATAGATTACAGTTTTAGGTTATTTGACGTTGATAAGATTATGTAAGGGTGGGAGTGGGAGTGTAAATTAAAGAGCACTTTTATAGTGCAAAATAGTTGGGTTACAATTTTACTAAAAATCGGGATTTCAATTTTATCATGACGGAAGTAAATTTCTTTGTCTATATAAATTTTCTAATGGGATGGTTGAGGGCTGAAAATATAATTTTAAAACTGTGAAAAAAATTACAAGCAGTTTTTATAACGAAACGCAGCTTTTGAATGAATGCTATAGCAAATTAAAGTTTTAACTTTCATTTTTTCGGCCTATCCTATAGTCTATTTTTATGTATAAGATAGTATTAAAATAATAAAGAGTTCGTAATCCATAGGCGTATCACTTCTTTTAGTAGACAGTTAAAATATTTTTTGAAGTTATTCCTTGAGTATACACTTATATTTTCACCTAATTAACCTGCTTATAACTTCTAAACAGCTGAAGGTAAAAAAGTGCAATTTTTTCTAAAAGGTTTTATTTTTCCACAAGGTATGTTAAGAACATTGTGTCAATCGAGTTATGTAGGTATAAGGGTTTAAACTTTGACTTTTAAACAACGTTACGTTCATAAATAATAATTTTAATATAAAAACTACTTCTTACCTACAAATCCAAATCAGAATCGAAATCAGAAGATGAACTGTCGCAACCAATATTTACAATGAGTGGCTTGATCATTTCATCAGTAATATTGTCCAACTTCCACATTTTCTCTTCTTCTTTAATCGTATGATTTACTGCCTTTTCCCAGTTTTCAGGCTTCACATTATTTACAGCCTCCAAAAACAACTGTTTAACATCACTCATTTTAAAAGAATTATTTTTTCTTGAAACTTCTCCCTTTATCTGTGCCCATATCAGTTCAATCGGGTTTACTTCGCAATGATATGGTGGTGATCTAACCACCGTCATCCCACGATTTTTTGCAATTTCATCAATTTCATATTTTTTGAATTTCTCTTTATGAAGGGAACACAAATGATACAGTTCTTTTCTCACAGAACCGGGATGGAACTTAATATTCTTTGAATTTAGCCAATTCTCTAAATCTTTTTTTAACCACTTGGTTGTGGGCATTTTTTCTATAAGTCTCGAGTGATAGCTTGCATTATCCATTACTATTATACAGTTCTGAGAAAGAAGATCTATAATTTGTTCGAACCACTCTTTAAAGACATCAGCATGCATGTCCTTATGGTAGTCACCGGTACGAGTAGATTCAAAAGTCAATAAACCACCTTTAACAAAACCGTTTGAACTACCGATGTGTACTATTATTAGTCTGTGCCCCTTTCCTGATGGTGGATTTAAACCAGTAGATAAATTATTTAAAAAAGCCTGTCTTCGACTTGTAACAGTTTCATCTTCTTGCCAAAATTTATTTGGTTTATGTCCCTCGTTGATCCATGTTTCATCTAAATAAAATATATTTCTTCTTTGGTTTCTCATTTCTTTTATAGTCCTTAGGTAATTTTTTCTCCATACTACAATATCGCTTCTTTCTATTAAAATAGACTTTCTGGAATGCTTTTCCATTGAAAACCTATTTCTTTTAAAAGTTTCCATAGTGTGCTTCGGCTCATTTCAGGGTAATCCTTATCATCTCGAACCGTGGCAAAAACTTTGTCTACTGTCGGAAATTCTTTTCTAAAGAAGAACGCATGCACTTTCCTTCGAAGTCTTTCTTTCAAAAGATTTTCTAATTGAAATTTTGGTTTTCCTGGAGCTTTACGTGCTGTTTGAAACTCGCAACATTTCTCTTCTTTAACAACTCTGTAAATCGTAGATTTCCCAACACCAAGCGTACTACTAACTAATTCCACTGTGTCATCAACACTTTTACATAAATGTTTGTCTGTAAATGATTTAAAACAATTAAATATTAATGTTTTTTCATTAACTGTTAAAGGACCGTTTTTTTGTCGTTTACGCGGCCCTTCCAAATTTTCCATGATCACACTAGAATTCACACTGCACCTTGCAAGTTGCAACTAAACGACATTTAGTAAACTGTCAAGAATACACAACTTGGACCTCCTTACTAAATGGAAAACCTATAATCGCATTTTCGGTGAAATTTGTTGTGAAGGTATTTATCTACTTATAATTCGATTACTGTAAGAAATTCTTGGAATTAAAATAAAACAAAATTGGCAAATAGGTACTTATTGAAAATAATCTTAAGATACGGCTATGTAATTTTTAATACACAGGGCTTTTGGCCTGTCTAAACCTTTTTCTATTGTTCTGTACAGCTTATGTTTATAAAGGACCAATAAAAGACCCAAAACTTGTAATAGCTCAGGTACATTTTTTACAATTTTAGGAAATATTTAGATTATTCTGTAAAAATATTTAAAATGACCGTACTAAGTTATGCATTAGAAATGCTGTTTTATTACTCTCTCATACATAAAAATAGACTATAGTAAAGTTAAAACTTTAAAACGTATCTTTATTTATTTAAAAGTAACTGATTCATGTATAAGACATAACAAATTAAACCCAAAAATGAACTCTTATTTCAATTAGCAAGATCGTATGATTACAATTTGGATGAAGGATTTCAGTCAATAATTTTGTTTCTACCTATTTAAATAGATTACAGTTTTAGGTTATTTTACGTTGATAAGATTATGTAAGGGTGGGAGTGGAATGTTTAAAAGAATGTAAATTAAAACTTTTATAGTACAAAATTGTTGGATTACAATTTTACTAAAAATCGGGATTTCAATTTTGTTATAACGAAAGTAAATTTCTTTGTCTATATTAAATTTTTTAATTTGATGGTTGAGGGCTGAAAATATAATTTTAAAACTGTGAAAAAAATTACAAGCGGTTTTTATAATGAAACGCAGGTTTTAAATACTATAGAAAATTAAAATCCTTTATTTGAAATAAATTATTTTTAAAAACTACCTCACGGCAATTTTCAATTTAACTTGTTTGTATTCTTCTAAAAGCACACCACTTTAAACTACTTTTTACGATCTACAAACAATATATTTTAATTACAAACTAAAAAAAAATCGAAAGTTTTGTGCGAAAATGAATAACAGATTGTTTTGTTGTTGTTTGGCTCATTGACAATTAAAAAAATAAAATAACGTTTTGTCCTACACCTATTTAATTATTTTTAGGATCATTTGAGAGTTCATACAGGAGAAAGGCCATTTTTATGTTCCGAATGTGGTAAGACATTTAAGCAGATCAATTATTTGAAAACGCACATAAAGAATAAACATATGGATACTATTGATTCCAAAGGAAGGAAAATACCCAAAGAGGATCCCGATAAACTTGTTTGTACTTGTGAGTATTGTGGCAAGAAATTTGACTACCCTCATCGACTGAAGATACATATGCAACAACATTCTGGAAACAGGCCTTATAGGTATGTAACAAAAATTAATAATTTTGTAGAATACCGATATTGGCTCAATTTTTTTCACAAACAAATACAAATATTGCTCAATTAAATAGTGTCACGAAGTCACGTTTTTGTATCAGTGTCGTCATTGAAATAAAATACAAATATATAAAAATATCCAATTTATTGTCAATCACACCTCAGTTTGAACAAACCTTTAAAAAAATTACAATTGGGCTTCGACTTACCATATTCTTCACAGACTTAGAGCACGTCATCAGATCCTGTAAAACGTTTCAAAATTACTACTTTATTTAAAATTACTTATTACCTTTTTATATTACTTTATTCAAAATTACTTATTATTTTATCTTGGATTACTAATGACTTTATTATTGACTACTTTATCATGGACTTTATTTTCCCGTCCCCTTTTACTTGCTGTCGAATTTACCACTGATCTCCTTCTTTAATTTCCATACCCAATTTTTTGGAATATTGCCGGCTTGCAACATTTTCGTAGTTTGCCAAACTTACGTGGTTGATGACCTGACACTATCATTTTAATGGGGCATGTTCAAAAATTTTGAAATTTTTTTTATGAATAATAGAGTTGAAAATAAAACTACATTTTTTTTATTTTTTTTTATCTATTCATTTGCCGGAGTTATTAATTTTTTTAAAATTTATGACGTCACCGGGAATAGACCAATAGGAGCTAGCGCACAACGTTGCCGGCTAGAAGGTTTACGAGAAGTGATGTACGTTCGTTTGTGTACTCCTTCTTAATTTTAGACTTCTAAAACATTGTTAAACAAATATCTTTTAAATACATAATATCAAATGTTTTTTGAAAGTATTGTTTTAAAAGTCACTTAATAATTCAGAAAATGGCAAAATGGCAGCACTGTGTATGGCATCTGTCATAGTGTCTCGATCAAGAATTTATTTGGAATTTGAGTGTTTAATTTTGTACTTTTTATAAATATTATGACTACGAAAAAGTGTTTTGTTCCAGAATGTGATAATGATTCACATTCATCTTCAAAAATATTTATTAGTGTTCCTAGAAATTTGGAAAGAAGAAAATCAACCTTCTACTGGCGATGTTTCTCGTGAACTTTTTAATAAAAACACACCGGATTATCAAGATGTAGTAGCAATTTCTGCGAATTGTCCCCTTCAGGAAATTGAAAATGAGGCTACTATAAATTCTTAGGTGTATAACCTAAAAACCCTTCTGGAAGAAAATGCAGAATCTCCTGAAAGTTTTGAAGATACCGAATTTATTCATCATTTTGTGGAAGAACTAGTGATAAAGAAATAATAGAAAAATGTGGGTATTTAAACAAACTGGTTCCTGGATTTCATATAATGGCAGATAGGGGTTTCAGAATATTCAGCTACTTGAAAACATGGGAAGCACTTTAGTAAAGCCACACCTAGTGTATCACAGAATGAAAAAAGTTCTCCAGAAGATGTACAATTAAGTAAAAGAATAGCATCTCTAAGAATACATACATGTGGAAAGAGTTATAAGAAGGGTTAGTTAATTTAACATGTTAAAACCACATTCATGTGTGAATTTTAAGCAAGTACATTTACTTAGTAATATCTGCATAATTGCTTGTTAACTTACAAGAACCTATTTTGTAAGAGTAAATATTAATTTAATAAACTTTTTTGTTTGTTTTTTAATTTAATTTACCTAATTATCACATTTTAGGGATTATAATGAGTTTTTAAACAGCCAATGTAATTTTTGATAAAAATTTAACTTTTCGAGCAAATCAAAGAGGAATGAGTACCTATATATGCATAGATTTTTTTGGGACTAAAACTACCAAAACAAAGGCACCTATTTACAGCAGTTTAAAATGAAACATTTTGACAAAAACGCCTATGTCACAGTAATAAATATTAAAAACAACCAAGTTCAGTTGAATATGGTAGCAAAGTCTATATATTCCAATAAATCGGGTAACTACATGTGGTATCACTGGTGATAAATTTAAAAATATCACAATTCTTGCTACCTTTTTCAAAAAACCAGAAAGTGTGCCTTCTTATCAATCCTTTATGAAAATGACAACAGTAATAAATGTGAAAAAAAAATTTTATGTTGCTATTCGTTATTACGATAGTAAAACATGTTTGCAGTTCTGTTTATTTTTTTATGAAAATCTAAGTAAAAACCAATGTCAAAAGGTTATAATTTTTTTTCTGTCAAACCAAATATATCACAAAATTAAAAATTGATCATAGGTCAAGCTAAAGTGATACCTTTATTGATAGTAGCTTTAAAAAAGGAGAAATATTAATATTGACTTAAGTTATTATTATTAACATTGGCGATTTTTAATAAAAACTTTTCAATTATTGTTTACAAACAAAAATATAAAAATATGTGAAAATTTTATTTATCAACCTTTTAATAAAAAATGAGAAAAATGAAGTAAAAAACAATTTATTTACAAATAAAAAATATATATACGAATCCTAAGAATATAAAAGTACTGATTTATTTTCCTGTAGTGGATGAAGAGGTTTCTTTAACAATCTAGCCAAGTGTACATCAATATTTACGCATTTTGATAAATTAGAGCCTTTCCAATAACACTGAGTAGATGTTACAGATGGTTCCTCACTTCTTCTATGAAGCCACATGTTTATAACCACCTGAAAAAAATAAAAGAGATATGCAGTTACAAAATAACTATATAACCATCTACAAAATGCCTTATTTTATGTAACAAGACGAGCAGAGCTTAACTAGCTCTGAATGAATCTAGTAAAGAACCTCGGATTTTCAAAAGTTAAAAAAAAAACAATCTCACCACATTTTTGAAATATAGAGCTTTTCGAAAAAAACTGCTATTTTTAAAAGTACAATTTTTTAGGCTATTGAGTATTATAAAATAAAAAATTACGGGATGCTTTGTTAGCTTCAAACGAATCCAGCAGAGCACCCCAGTTTTTTTTTTAAACCACACCACGTTTTTTGGCTCCTACAATATTATAAAATATTTCGAAATTTGGCATTTTTAAAAAAATTCGCAATTCCTTGCTGACTTCAAAGTTTTTTTTCTGAAAACAAATATACTTACCACATTTTTAGGATTTTAAAACAGCCTAAACATGTGTCATAAGTAGTTGTTTTTATATATAAAAAAACAAATTAAAAAACTGAAGTGTCCTGCTGACTTTGTTCCAACAAAGCACCCTGTATTATTTAAAAATAGCAATTTTTTTAGTAAAGTTTTACAATATTTCAAGAGTCTAAAAATGGGGTGTGGTTTTTAGAAAAAAGCTTTAAAAAACCGAATTGCTCTGCTGGCTTCTTTCGAAGGTTAGCAAGAAGCACCATGTATTTTTTAAAAATATAATATTTCAAGTGCATAAATATATGGTGTTGCTGTTTTTACAGAAAAAACTTTATAAAACAGAGGTGCTTTGCTGACTTCGTTCGAAGGCTATCAGAGCATTTTAAGTTTTGCAAAAAACGAGGAGCATAAAATTTTTGAAAAGGGTATAAAAATAGCCTAAAAATATGGCATATTTTTAAACTCAAAATTTCATAGGTGCTCTGCAGCATTCTTTGGTATCATAATTATTACTAGGTTCACTAGCAAAATCTATTTCTAGATTATTTTAACACTTGCTGCGATTACAAAAAATGTCTATATGTCAAAATTAGAAAAAAAATATTTATAGAAATAAAAGGCCTTATACACTGTTTATTATATGTGATATAAAAACAAAAAAGCATAATAAATATTACAAACCTTGACATGCAGCATATCGTAAGCATTGTGCACTAAAAATTTCATTTTTGTTAATTACAACAAGCACATCAGAAGGTTTTTGCCGTACTTTATGTTTAGGTTTAATTTGTCTCCTTCTCTCTTATTGAAAAAGAAATCCCCATATTCTTGCTTGGCAGATCTAAAAATAAAACCTGAGATAAATATGTTTTACTATAAGGTGTATTGGCTCCATATAAACTGTAAATACCTACTATTAAAACAAAGTATTACCTTTCTTACTTTTGTAAACTGAGTATTGTTAAAAAATGCAGTAATCATCTCGGTAATTATATTTTCGTTTACAATGGGTAAAACACTTGATTCAACTTTTATAAATCCAGCTGATCCATATTAATAATAAAATTAAACCAAAACAAAAAACTAAGGTTAGGTGTTAGGTAGTGTCAATGTTATTGTCACGTAGATGTGCGTTCACTTCGACATTCTGTGTGTCGGTTTGTTCGTTGGTTTGGTTTTGTATAACAAAAAAAACTTCGACACAAGATGATTGGTCTATTCCCGATGACGTATAATTTCAAATTTTAAATTTCAATTGGGCTTAATTTAAAAACTTTTGGCTTTTTTAACGAACTGACTATTTAGAATAACTTGTATAGCGACTAACTATTACAATATAATTTATAAAACAGCATATCTCACATGTGAACATGGCCCATTGTGCAATATAATTTCGTCAAGTAATTATTTCCTACGTATATTAGCACAGTACATTATTTTGTAAAAGTTTTTAAATTTGTTTAATTAGGTATTTTTTGACTAAACAAAATGCTGAATTAAAAATAAAATTATTATTTTTGGGATTTGTGACAATAGTAGTTAAGGGAAGTACATTGATTTCTAAAACTAAACCCAATACGTTAAAGTATAACTAGTATTCTTTATATAAAATGAATGGTTTGTAATATCTAAAATAAGTCATATATTTTTTGAGTTATTATAATGATCTGCTCGTTCTCATATCACCATCCTTGTAACTTCATAATTAAATTTTTTTTTAGTTGCCATTTATGCCACAAGACTTTCAAACAGAACAATTCACTTCAAGTTCACTTACAATATCACGAAGACAGTCAAGTTTTCTGTTGCGATCTGTGTCCGAAATCCTACATATCCTTAGTTGCATTAAAATTGCATCGTGCTAAAATGCACACACATAGACAACATTATTACAAGGAGAAAAAAGGAGCTGAAAATGATTTGGAGAAACCGTACGCTTGTCCCGGCTGTCCAAGAAAATTTATGTATAGATGGAATTTGAAAAAACACGTCAGAGTTCATGAAAAAGAAAATCGGTTTAGTTGTGATATTTGTTTCGAGATTTTTAGTGATTCTGAAAAAGTAGAAATGCACAAAACCGATATGCATGAAACAGATGTGCAAGAAATAGTACAAGACGATCATTTAGCTGATTCTTCTGAGGATAGTAATTTATATGAGTAATGTACATTCGTTTTTAAAATATGATTCGATTTTTAAAAATTATTTTTTTTTTTTAACTTTACTGATCATCTAATTACTTGTTAAATCTAATCTATTACTTTTATCTAATGGAAATTGTTCTATCACATTCCTTACAAATTCGATATCATTGTTGTTTAATGTAATTTTTAAATGTGAACTTTCTTTCAAAAATTAAGGTATTTTCATAAAATATATATTTTTATTGAATCAAAATTTTATTTGTTGATAATTAAAAAATAAAAACATTAAAGTAAATATGTATAATAATTATTAATAACCTCCCAATGATTTATGGTTCTAGACACAAAAATGTAATTTTACATTTGTTTTCAACCGTTTCATTTCAAAATTAAATTGTGTAATAAAGTTACTTCTATTTATTTGAGTAGCCTAAAATCCATAGTAAAGCCCGGCATAAATAATTACAGTGGTACAGGAAGGTACTGACGTGACGAACGAGATCAAGTGCTTATGCACAATAATTAGGGTTACCAGATGAAATCTTTTACGTCTAGGACAAATTTATAAAAAAATCCGATGTTATAAAATTTCTTCTGAAAAATTAAGAAATGTAATATTTTTCACATTATTTACTTAATGACATATTATGGTTTTACTAATAAAACAAAAATATTTCCTAAACAACAGAAAGTTACAGAAACTGACGTCACAAAAAGTAATTAAATCGGGTATAAAGACCCGAACCCGAGGGGCTTGATATTCATTCATTAAGAAATCAAACTCAGTTCAGTTGATTTCAAACCACAGTATTTCATTACTTTCAAATCTAGTATAATTCAAGTTCACTATTCAGTACATGGGCGGCTCCAGGGAGGGGGGCTATGGGGCCATGGCCCCCTCGAGATGAAAATTCTTATGATTTATGAGCCTTTTATTTAAAAAAATATGCTAAAAAGGGAATATCTAAAGGCAATGCCCCTCCTTCCCCCGAAAATTCGTCTTGGAGCCGTCCTTGATTCAGTACCCATCTTAACCGACGTCTATACTACAATACCCCCTATCCCTTGAACGCTGTCACGTCCCTACCTTATTCGATGCTCTACGTCTCGGCGACCTATCTCTCGAATGTTGTCACGTTCCGACGTCATCTCTTTTATCCGACGATCAGTATCCCGGTGCTCTACGTCTCGATGTCCCTTCAATATTTCCAAATTAGCAATACTTTCACGTATCAACAAAAAAACGCCAGAAATAGATGGTGAGTCAATAATGTAAGAGGTTTATTATTATTCATTGTTGAAGAACATTATTGGTTATTAAAGTCACATTTGGGACGCTTGATGGATACGTCCCAGTATGCATTTGCGCTGTTGCTAGGTACACGCTAAAGTGTACACAAATCAAAAAATTATGTACACGCGAAACGTCATATTGCTGTGGTGAGAAGTGTTTGTGTGAATGCGTGTTGTTTGTTTTCATTTACGCCGTGACTAGCAGTAGTATTTTATAAACCTTAGAAGCAAATTTCACATACATGAACAAATAATAATGCCGTGACAACAAGAAAATGAAGCAAAGAATTCTCGTAGGGAAAATTTCAATCCTTACCTGGCTACGCCGACCGGCATGGACAGTATGGACACAGCTCACCTACTCTGTCAAGACGTTTCGCGTGTATATAACTTTTTGAATTGCGTACAAGTTAGCGTGTACCTAGACACTGTGATGCATTTGCCGTTTTATTATGCCAGCCTAAAACTATTTAAGAATTTAGAAATGACACTTCGGACGGCTAGGCTCACATTTTACCCGAATATGCTTGATGTCACTGCAGGGTTGGACTATCTTAAATAATTATCTCTCAATCTTCGCACCGTAGGTAGATCTGAACATAAGGGGTAGTTCGCTGGTATTGATCCGGCTCTATTCTAGTAGGACTACACTACTCGCTCTTCTGTTATTATACTATAAAATTGTCGTAAAATTCAATTTTTTTAAAAAGAATACCGCCTTTTTAAAAATATCATACCTACTCGCTCTTCTGTTATCCTGATACAAAATTAGCCATTAAAATTGTCATAAAATGCAACTTTTTTATAAATTTAACGGCTTTTTTAAAATACCTCCGATATCTACCAGTGTCGTCGATCTGTGCGCAAATTACTTTGTTTTTGGACTTATCTAGAGTGCATTTGTTTGTAAAATGAGAAACAAAAAGCCTCGCAAAAAGATTACTTTTCGACATTCGACAACTTTTTATAGACAACTTAATCAACAAATGAATGGTTCCAAAACTCTTAAACGTTATTACTCTATAGTGAACAAGCCTCAACGTTTCTCGTTGTGAAAAATTTAAATGGCCTGGCCAAAATAAGGTTCCTTTGTTTTCACACATGTCGGGAACAACGCAGAAACAAACACCCCTCTTTTCTTGAGTCGATACAATTTTAAAACTCATCTAAATCTAAGGTGTGCACACAAACGCAATATAAAACATTAAATACATAAATTTAAGGGATCTGTGGCATAAACAAATTTAACCGGCGAAATATACTGTAAATTTTGAGGTTATATAGAATAATACAACTAATACAGTTTTGCGATATCATCAGAGCGCAATTTCCCTGAGAAGATATAGTTACAAATTTTTCCCATAATCTTCTTGAATGTACACTATATTTGTACAGGGTGTTCAGTTATTAAAGAACGGCACTTAAAAAGTTTATTAAAAGATAAAATAAATTGTTAAATACATGTTATAAGGCTTTACTAGAAATTACTATTAAGATAAACAAACGGTAACCAGAAAGGTAACTAACAAGTATCAACTTTGTGAATTAAAATGGGAACCCTATATACTTTTTACTATGGCGATTCCAAATATACTGTACCTTGATATTTGATTAAGCCGTTTTACGCTATTCAAGATTAAAATTGTTTTAACTTTACATTACCTTGATCTAGGTTGATGGATGACATATTTCGTCGGTCTAAAGCACACTTATTGTATATCCAAAAACACATTTTTGGACAATCGCAAATTTAAACTTCTAGAAAATGTAATTAAATGCCTTAATTCTCAGTTTTAATTTGAATATATTGTAGTTTGGTGGGTGTTGGAGCTACAATGTTTGTGCCCAATAAGACTAAAATGCGATTTAATTGGTACCAAGATCGTTATAACATTAAATTTGGAGTTATAATATGTGTGCTTTAGATCGACGATTTGTAATTTAAGGTAAATTTGATTTTTCCCCCTTGACATTGGCCCTATTGAACAACTCAAAAACTCTGAAATAAGTCGAGAAATGGCTGATCTGGCAACAATGTAAATAATTAACTTTATGGTGGCAAACACTAGGTGGCTGCCACGTAACTGCCACTTTGTGGTGGTGAAAAATATTTTGGATTAGTTCCAGCTGCCACTTATTTGATGAAAGTAACTACAAAGTGGCATATTTTTAGTTTCTGCAACATTAAAGTTTTTTTGCATGAAGCAGACAAGATCGCAATTATGAGAAAATATAAAGGTGCTATTTAATTTTTTTTTCGTCCGTACAGCTTCAATGCAATAAAATTCAAATATATTTAATGATTTTAATTAACCAAGATTGATAAAAATACTGTTTAAGGCATCTAAATAAATAATTTCGAAGATGAAAAATTTACAGATTTTAACTTTTTAATTAAATATAGAGTATTCCAATGGCGCGTGCCCATATTTCGAGCTACAACACCTATATTTGACAGTAAACTTCCAATCGTTCCAACTTTTTTATTAACACATTATTATTATTATTCAATATATACCTACTTATTAGTTTACTAGTTATGTCAAGTTAGAGAATAAGTAAGGTGAATGGGAGAAATAATTTGGAGGACGGAGCTACATATAAGTTCCGGAAACGTGCCTGGAACGTGGTTGCCACCAAGAAAGTGTTCCCCATTTTAGTTACCGCCACGTGGTAGAACCGTGTCTATTACGTGGCAGAAACTTTGGCAATACACTTTAAGTTTCTAAAGTTGTGGTAACCACGTTCCGCCCACGAAAAATGCTACTTGGAGCTATACCTACCTACTCGCTCTTCTGTTATCCCAATACAAAATTTGCCATTGAAATTGTCGTAAAATGCAACTATTAAAAAATTTTCCCGCATTTTTTAAAATATTGTTTAATAAAATTGTAACTTTTTAAAAATTTTCTTTCTTTTTTAAAATACCTCCGATACCTACTCGTTCTTCTGTTATCCTGATACAAAATTTGCCATTAAAATTGTCGTAAAATGCAATTTTTTTAAAAATTTCCCGTCTTTTTTAAAATATCTCCTATACCTACTCGCTCTTTTGTTATCCAAATACATTTCAATATTTATTCCCTAAACATAAATTGTTCATTTATTCTTCAGAATATTTATCATTTTGTAATTATTTTAAATATACATTTCATTTTCACTTTTATTATTCTCTCCTACCCTTTACAAAACCAGTTATGATATATCCCGGGCATTTGTGAAGCCTCGACGTTTCTACTCCTAAGGACTATCAGTTGTCAAAACCGCTGGACTTATTAAGGAATAATTTTGTTTTTTTTTTTTTCTATTTTATTATTTTTTATGTCACTGGTGAATGGATATTCCTTCCGAAAACCAGAACCCTTTGGTTGATGACAGTGTTGTCTTTATCCCTTAATATTATATTGACAACAATCAGTTGTTACCCATGGTTCTTTAAACTAGTTGGTGGTTACATTTGGTGCTACTTCTGGTTTACTAACCTCTCCGAGCAAACCTATTGAATTTGCCAATTTCTTGATAGACGTGTTGAGTCTATATCCCCAGTTTAGAAGTGTTGAGACTTGCAACGTTTAATCCCTACAAGAATCAACTTATATTTACAGGAAACCCGCGTATTACACAGCCGTGTCGAAGATGACACTGAACCATCAACCATCTGTTTTCAAGGACCATACTACCAATCCGTCACGGGTTGACAAATATTTTATTTCCTTTTGTTCAGGATTTTGGAATTTTATAATGTACGTCAATAAACCGTTTAATTATATAACTAGTTATTTGACTTATAATAATTAAACTTGTTTCGACTCTATTTTACTAAGTCTAGAATTTTCGGTACCTTCATCTGAAGCTGCCAGTCCTTTCGCAAGTTGCGCCGAGGGGCCATGGAGCAAATCACATTAATAAAACTGGCGCCCGAGTAAGGATTTTCTTTGTGGTAAGAAAACACTTTTATTTGTAAGGAAAGAAGAATAGTTAAGGAAGTGTACAAAAAACTAAAATAGGCGGGTTCGAATCCCTCATCTGACAGATTTTTTTCATTAAATTTGTTTACACTTTGGAGGCTCGAAATAATTTTTTATTTTGTAGGGGTCATTTTGTAATTTATTTGGGGATTTCATAAGATTTTAATAAACGAAAAATAATTTATCTATGATTGATCAATATTTTATTTTTTAATTACTCTCTAGATCATAAAAAATAGCTATATGATATAAACAACAAAGTCTACACAGACTGAGAAGATTATAATAAAGCATAACAAAATAAATTAAATACTAAACTAATTCCATTAAAATAATATATTTTAGTTCATTGATGGATTTTGTGTATCAGAAGAAACAGGGGGTTATGATTGACAACCTGTGTTATTTTTAACAGGTCTGTTATTTTATAAACACATAAATAACAACCTGTTTACAAATAACGTGTCTGTTAAAAATAACATTACTTGTCCGTCGTAACACTCCATATCTTGTCATGAACTCTTTTATGTTTTGTTAGACTACTATTTGTTACAAAAGATTTTTGGCATACGCCACAAGAAAAAGGCTTTTCCCCAGTATGTATTTTAATGTGTTGCTGTAGATTCCCATTTATAGTGAACTTTTTTCCACAATAACTGCATTCATATCGCTTTTCTCCCGTGTGTATCCTAAAAATAAAATGGTTTCCTGTTAAAAAAAATAAAATAAAACAATCAAACAATTTAGAATACAATATTTATGAATAAAAATATCAGATTGATTGCCATCTTCTATCAAATAGTGGAAATAACAAAGGACAGTCAGAACGAGAAACTAAAATCGAGTATAGAAAGCTCGACAGTCAATGTCGTTGATAGCCTCACGTTAAGGACACACGTCCGGCAAACCTGGAGGCCTGGGTTCGACTCCCGGCAATCTACAAGTATTTGTTTTCACATTTGGGATCTTAATGATTTTAACAATTCGTAAGGGGATTTTTGAGATTTGTTTCTGAATTTTCAATTATTTATTCTGTTTCGCTCGCTTGAGATGTGTGATGAATATCACAAATTTCAGTTGACCATAATTTTTCTCGAAAGCGGTATTTTCCTTTATGTAAACAATATATCTGAAAAAGATATCGGACTAAAATGAATCTCTCAAATTAATGAATATTTAATTACTTAACTTTCTTGTGGAGAGTTTATTAAGTTTTTATGGCTGTATGTCTGTTCAATTAGGGGATGTTTCGTTTTTATCATTATGGGAGCTTTTCTAATACATCAGAAACAGTGTACGAGTCTGAGTCGGTGTTGAAATGGATAGTATATAATTCATAAAAGCTCAGTAATTTGTGTTAAAAACTAGTGTTTTGATTGTATATCGCTATAAATATAAATGATCGGCCAGGAGCCCTATTCTCGAATGTCTATTTCTAAATGTCACACGCGACATTCATGTCGAACAAGAACGCGAAAACATATTCTCAAATGACGAATTCGACATTTGCTGTTAGACATAAAGTCGAATGGTATTCAACCAGTCGACATTTTAATGTCGCCTACCTTTTTAAAGATAATGTTATGTGGAACGAGATATGGGGCCGAAATTGGGTATTCGAGCGATTTTGGGGCCCTACGAGAAAACTGAGAAGCCCTAGAAAAATTTTGAGGTCATTTTCGGCTTTTCCAGACGCAAATACCCAACAAGAAGATTTTTCAATGTATTTTGAGTTAAAATAAAGAAATTAGCATGTGCCCGTACTAAAAAAAAGGCGCGAAAAATTGAAAATCTATCTTCTAAAGGAAAATTCGCACACACTTTTAGAGGCCATTTTCTTTCTTTTCATGACATTCTAAGGTATTCCACGACCTGAAACGTCATAATTAGTCGAACGTTTGGAAAATATTTTTTTTTTTTTAAAGAAGATCTCTCCAGGACATGGGTGCAGATAAACCATTCCTGAGCCCATATTATTTGAAATATCACCAAAATATGTTGGAGAGCGGTTCAATAGAGTTTAAAAGTTATAAAAAAATATTTAGAAGCTCCTAATATCGATAGAAATTTTGGAGCACTACGAAAAAACTGAACAAGGATCGACAGTTTGGAAAATATTTTTTTTTAAATAAGAAGACCTCTCCAGGACATGGGCGCAGATCAACCATATTATTTGAAATATGAACAAAATATGTTGGAGAGCGGTTCAATAGAGTTTAAAAGTTATAAAAAAAAATATTTATAAGCTCCTAATGTCGCCGAAGAAGCATGAATTAATGAAAAACCAGTTTGTAGAGCTTTTAAAAAGAAATTCAACAATTTAAACCATTTCTTCCTAGTTTAAACGATAATCAAGTTATTTAACAAAAACACTTATTTCTGTTAAAATTTCCCCAAATTTGATCTGAAAATCCTATTTTCTAGCCTTACGAACAACTCACCGGTGACTGTTAAAAAACCAGTTTGTATAGAATTTAAAGTGGAATTTAATGATGCAAACCACTTCTTCCTAGTTGAAACGATAGTCAAGTTATTTAACAAAAACCTTTTTCTCTTAAATGAAAAATATGTAAATTTTGGACCACAAAATTTTTTATTACTTGATCTAAAAATTTGAAAACATTCAACATCGACCTGGCAAAGACGAAAATTGGGTTTTCGAGCGATTTTGGGGCTCTAAGAGAAAACTGAGAAGCCCTAGAAAAATTTTGAGGTCATTTTGGGCTTTTCCAGACCACTTATCGATGGTATTATTGTATAGGTATTGTTCGAGAAAGTCTCGAACACATTGAATTTATTATTTACAATAAATATATTTTTTTGTATCATACTGTATATTTCTACTCATAGTATAGACCCCCAGTGGAACAGCTCTGATTTTCCCTAATCTTTCAAAATACCAAAATAAGCCCCAATCAAGGGTAATAAAAATTTTATTAGAATGGATAATAGTCGGTTATAACTTATTAAACTTATGTAGTTGATACTAATCCAAAACAATATTAAAAGACGGTTTTTCCCGAGCAATATGCCTGGTACAGTCTGTTCGCTATACTTACGCGGGTTTCGGATTAACAAAATTATGTAAATTAGTTGACAAGGGGGGTAGCCATGTGTGAGTTGAGGTAATTTTAATGTATGTGATTTGTTTTTGTATAGTCTTGAATATTTTAAATTTTTACTATAATTGACTAATATTTGTTTTTTCAAATATTTTTAACTTTTTATTACGTGTAAATCGGTTCATTTTACAATTTATTTCAACCCAAAATTGACGAAACTTGTTTTTGTAGTATTCCCTAGTGGATGGAGAGTATATCGAGCCTGAAGATGAAGTGATGACACTTCGAAACCGGTCGCACTCAATGTTTTGTTAAACAATTAAACATTGACTTTCCTTGTGAGATATAAAGGACTTTTTCTCACCCTTCACCTTAAAATGTAAATTAGTCATTGACAACCAGTTCCAATAAGCTTCTTCCCAAGAAATTAGGTAAAATTGCCCTAATGGTCAGATTAAAATTAAAATAACATTAGGGTAGGTACTAAATTTGTTACAAATATTGCAGTTGAATTGATTCTTTGCAAGTGTTGATATTGTATGTATATTGTAAATTTAGTGGAAATTTTAAAAATGCCTAGACGTGTGTTAGATGTAGATAGTCTAATATGTAGTGTACAAGTATTTTACGGATGAAAAAGAAAATGGAGGTCCTTTAAAATCGGTAATGTCTGTACAACAACGCGTATGCGATGCTCTAGGAATTAGTGAAATCAATCAATCAATATATGTTTATTGTCAAAGCTACAAGAACTTATAGACAAACACTTATAAATATAATTATTATGAAGTACTAACAATTACATGCATAAAAATTTAAAAATTGTATAAAAACGTTAAATATAAAATTAGAGGTTAATTACAAATACAAATACGTAACACAACATCGATAAAATTATATAAATACAAAAACATGTACGTTCAAACAGTCACAACGATTTAAGAGTCATTGTAAAATTCCGTCAAAGCATAATATGCTTTTGTCATCAACATATCTCTAAGCAGTATTTTAAATGTTGTGACCGTTTCCGTCGATTTAATAGCATTTGGCAACTTATTGTACATTTTAATCCCATTATAAATGAAAGAGCCCCTTACCAGTTCAGATTTGGGTATGGGCAACCGCAGGTTGTCAACTTGTCGCCAAAATTAAGAGGAGTATTACAAAATCACAATAGTGAACTGCCGAAAGAAGATCACCGCAAAACTTGCACATCATTGAAAACGAAAGATATTCCAGATGGAAAGAAATTTGAAATTCGTGATACCATTTATCGAATGAGGGCCAACAAGGAACATGTGACCTTAAATACAATTCTCTCGGAAATAATAGATAGAAAATTTGACGACATTGGCAGAACAAGTCTATGGCAAGTGATACATAACTTGGGTTTCAAATTTCAAAAGGAGGATAACAGAAATGCCCTTTGTGAAATAAGTTCTGTCGTGCACAAAATAATTAACTTTCTAAGAAAATATTCTAAATTTAAAGAAGGGGCGAAATTTAAAGAAGGGGCGAATTTTATATATTTAGACGAAGCATAGATATTTTCTAGGGGTGCAAGATGATAATGTAAAGTCCATCAAACATACTGATGGACATAATTTTACATGCAGGAGGGAAATCGGGTTTTATAGAAGGTGCTGATTTAATATTTTCATCTAAATCAAAATCCAGTGACTATCTCGATAATATGAACACAGAAAATGTTTGTAAAATGGTTGCATGAAAAACTTCTCCCAGGTGTAAGTGAGCCCAGCGTAATTATTTTAGACAATGCACCTTACCATTCTGAAGTATTAAACAAAAGTCCAACGAATTCTTGGACTGTTGATAAAATTAAAGAATGGTTGACAAAGGAACATATACTATTTCCTCAATATATATTAAAATTAGAATAAATACGCTTGGCAAATATACACGCAAAACCAAAAACCTTTGTTGTGGATCAGATTATTGAAAGTTACGGTCATCAAGTTTTACGTCTGCCACCGTATCATTGCCAGTTTAATCCCATCAAATATATATGGGGAATAGCAAAACAATATCATGACAACCATATTGGGCCTAATGATTATAGTGACGACGCAGTTCGGGAAACTTGGAGAAAAGCACTTTCATTTGCAACTACAGAAGTGTGGCGGAACTGTATATCTAAGTGCGAGAAACTAATAGAAGATTGGTGGACTCGTGAAAATAAAATAAACGAAATAAGTCCAATCATAATAACAATTAATGGAGATAACAGTGATGATGATGATGACGATTATGATATTTTGGATGATAATGACTGATTTTCATTTTTGTTGGCAAGTTCAATTTTTTTATTTTTCATTTGAAATTCTCTACATGGAACAAATTTTTATGTTAGAAAATATTTTAAATATATTTTAAATAACCCTATTATTATACATAGACCATATTTTCTGTGTGAAGTGTAATATAAAATTATTATTAGGTTTATAATAGCCACATTAGACTAGATTATTATTTAATTAAAAAGTTGTACATTATTTTTTATTTCATTTAACCAGTTGATATTTCCCCAAAGAACAGGTCAAACTTGCGGGTACTTACCTGGAAATTTTTAATCCGAAACCCGCGTAAGTATAGCAAACAGACTGTAGTTCTGGAGGTTTAAGCAGGGAGACAGAGTTGATAAAAAGAGTATTGCTGACAATAATAAGAGACTTCAACGATATTTCGTGTTTAAATAAAACGTTTTGTAAGCGGTTAAATATTACATGGTCCTTTGAGTAAAAATAAGTTTTAAACAAATTTTAGTAGTTTTTCTTCTTCGGCAAGACCTATGGTGCAATGAGACGTGTAGTTCTCCTACAGGTACTGTGATAAAATATGTTTGAAAAATTAGATTTTAGTACTAACCTCATATGACAATTCAATTGACCCACTTGCACAAATCTAGAGTCACATAACGTACATTTGTATGGTTTTTCTCCTTTGTGGACGTACATGTGAACCGCTAATCGCTGATATGTCAGAAATTGTTTGTTACAAATGTCACAAACTTTTTTCTTTGGATATTGATTGCGTCTTGATATTCCAATTTTAGGTGCATTTATACCTGCAATTTAACATTAAATTATTTATATATACAGGGTGGACCAATGTTGCGGAAAAGTTCGATATCTTCCTCGTTGAAAGAGATATTAAAAAAGTGTATTAAGAAAATTATGGACATGTTTGAGGTTAACATTTTAAAATTATTGGGAGGTTTACAGGGTGTTTCATAGCTGGTGTACGAACCAAACATGTTTTTTTTTAATGATAACCCCAGTATATTATTTTAGATTCTGTTCACTCATCGTTTTTCCATTCTTTTAATATATGGTTTGTCTATGTTATATAGGGAACTTTTCAAGGAAGTGACATTTTTTTTTACCCACACGAATTTTATAATATGATGTATTATACTTTTTTTAGTTATATTTTTATTATCTGTTTATTTGTATACAGGGAGACTCAATACTCAGACCCTTTATTTTCTTGTTTTATTTAAATGGGACACCCTATATTTTATATCACCAGTAAAATCATCTGTTCCAAGTCTTTCATTTTTATAAAGCATTCCCTATACCTAAAGTTAATATTAATCGATATTATTTAACAATAAATGAAAATTATGGTTATTTCGATAAATTAAACTAGTTTTTTATAAAATACTATTTATAAACAATAATAAATAATATGTGTTATTTTTTATCTAGTCGCCAATGCATTTAATATACCTGTCACCGTCCAGTTGACAATTTTGACATTTTAAAAATTAAGAGCAACTGCCTGTTTTAAGTAGATTACTAATAATAAGATGAACAATACGAATTTTTCTATCCCAGAAATGGTGAATATGATTTATATACTAGGTGAGTGCAACAAGAATTCTTTACTTGCCTCCAGAGTGTACCACCAACGATATCCGGAACGCCGGAAACCAAATAAAAAGGCGTTTGAAAAACTAATGGACCGTTTTAATCGTACTGGTACTGTATCATACGAGCAAAAACAAGTAACAAAAACTGCTATCACGGAAGAGAATGAAATGAAAGTATTGATGAGTATTTATGATGATCCGCATATTAGTAAACGAAATATTTCAAGACAACAACAAGTCAGTTACGGAACTGTTCAAAGAATCCTATCAAAACATAAAATGCATCCTTCCCATATCCAGTTACATCAAGAACTTCTTGAACGGGATTTTGAAATTAGAGTGATATTTTGTGAATGGTCCCAAAAAAAAATTAATCAACAAAGAAATTTCTTTGATTTTGTGCTCTTTGGTGATAAATCGACTTTTCATAAAAATGGAGGTTTAAATAGGCATAATTTTCACTATTATTCTACAACAAACCCACACATTATAGTCACTTATAGCCAAATGAGGTGGTCATTAAATGTTTGGGGTGGCATTGTGGGTGATTATGTGATAGGGCCACACTTAAGGACGAGTAAATAGTGCAGTATATTTGGATTTCCTTGAAAATCAATTGCCTACGTTACTCAAAGATGTTCCCCTTCACATTCGCCAACAAATGTGGTTTTTGCACGATGGTGCACCAGTCCATCATACTGTAGTAATTCATAATTATTTAAATAATCACTTTCCAAAACAGTGGATCGGAGGAGGAGGACCGATAGGGTGGCCAGCGCGATCACCGGATTTGAGAAAAATTGATATTTTTTCTGTGGGGTTATGTAAAAAACATAGTATATAATGTGCCTGCAACGACAAAAGAGGACATGAAAACTCGAATCAGAAATGTATTTCAAAGTATTGATGTTCAAATGCTGAGAAATGTGAGTCGGTCATTCGAAATTCGATTACAAAACTGTATTGATGTTATGGGAGGTCACTTTGAACAACTTTTATAATTATGTTTTAATTGTTTTGTTTGTTTTTGAGTTTTTTTGTATTCACACTTATTATTTATTATTGTTTATAGAGTATTTTATGAAAAACTAGTTTAATTTATCGAAATAACCATAATTTTCATTTATTGTTAAAAAATATCGATAAATATTAACTTTAGGTATAGGGAATGCTTAATAAAAATGAAAGGCTTGGGACAGATGATTTTAGTGGTGATATATAATATAAGGTGTCCCATTTAAATAAAACAAGAAAATCGAGGGTCTGAGTATTGAGTCTCCCTGTATACGAATAAACAGATAATAAAAATATAACTAAAAAAAAGTATAATACATCATATTATAAAATTGGTGTGGGCAAAAAAATTTTTTTTTCTACAGTGTATAATTGGCTGCTGGACGTTGAATTATGTACGATTCTCTCACAAAAATGTCAATTCCTTGAAAAGTACCCTATATAACATAGACAAACCATATATTAGAAGAATGGAAAAAAGATGAGTAAACAGAATCTAAAATAATATACTGTGGTTATCATTAAAAAAACCATGTTTGGCTCGTACACGAGCTATGCAACACCCTGTATACCTCCCAACAATTTTAAAATGTTAACCTTAAATCTGTCCATAATTTTCTTAATACACTTTTTTAATATCTCTTTCAACAAGGGAGATATCGAACTTTTCCACAAGATTGGTCCACCCTGTACATAATAGGAGTTTTGATAAAACAACTTTTGATTACTTACCGTAATCTTTATTCTTCAAGTGTTTTCTCTGGTGACACCTAAAAGCGCTCATTGTCAATGTATCATATCCACAAATATGGCAGATCAATTTTTCATTATTATGACATCTCATGTGGTCTTTCAAAGAAGGCATTTGGGTAAAACCCCTTCCACATATTTCACAAACGTGAGGTTTTACTTCTCTATGTATAACTTTGTGGGTGTATAAATTTGGCTTACTAGCAAAACTTTTACCACAAATCTCACATACATGTGGTTTCGTTTTGGTATGTACATTCATATGGTCTTCCATCCGATCTTAAACAACAGTGCATGTCAATTATAATTTACAAACTGAATAAATATATTTTTATTAATTTTATTTAAAAGAAAAACTCTTATATCTAATTCATTGATAATCTTGTAAATGTAAAAAGTAATATTCACCTTTGACTACCATTTTTTTACAAACAGGACATGATATCCGTCTCAAATTTGAATTCATTCTCCTTTTTATGTATCTTTCTTTACGTCTATGACTTAAAAACTCCTTTCTTTCGATAAATGTTTCTCCGCAAGTTATACATGTATATCCTGGTACTTCTTTTACGTTCTGTTCTGTTTTTATTGATATTTCTTCAGTAATTTCTTGTATTATAGGTTTTACTTCGACAAAATTATCAACATAATCATTTACATAATCACAATTCTCAATTGTGTCCGATTCAATATCACTATGTTCTACTTTTATTTCATTTATATCGCTAATCATTTCGATTTCTTCCTTACAGATACCATCTGACTTTTCTGTGTTATCAATTTTTACATTTTCCTTTTCAATATTAACATTAGTTATTTCTTTTTGTATATTTACTTTGCCCAAAGCTATTTTCAAGATAACTTGAGAAGCATTTACTTGTTCTTTAAAATAGTAAAATTCATTTATTAGAGTCGTACAAGTGTTGCATATTTTTTGCGGCATACCATCATCTTCTTCTACCTAAAAATTGTTACTGTTAAATTACTGAAAACATTTTGTTTTTAAATAATTGAAGGAGAATATATTTCTATATTTATAGATGTGCAAAATCATGACTTTAGAAGTATTTTTATTTTAATGCTGACAAGTCAAAAATGTTAAGTATAAATCACAGTGTATTAGCACAGCTTATACAATACAGCTCCACAACTCCGTGTCGGCGTCTTTGATCTGGCGGTCGAGAACCAAGCAAGACGGAATGGTGCTATCTCTGTTAGATTAAAGGGAAAAGTCGGGCCCGGATTAAGCAATTTTTTTATTATTGAAAAAATTGAAAACCTTGACGTAATAAGGTTGGTTACTTGCCATGTTAAGTAAGTTTTGGGAAATTACATTTTTAATTTGTTTTAAATTTGTCAAATATAATTAAAAAAATTATTTAAATATAAATATTACGAAAAATAGCACATCTTTCGGATTAGAGGTAAAATAATTTGTATGTGGCTAGTAAAATCCTCGTTAACAAATGTTTTGAGCTAAAACAGTCACTTCACGACAAATTGTGACTTGGATCCTTTTTACACCAAGGGCTTCAATTGTTAAAGAAATGTGTCACGCTCGTGGATGCAAATCAAGTGGTACCCCGTGTCTCTGGCAAGTGTTACTCTTCGCGCAAAGGGTTTATACCTAGATAAACGAATGCTTCGACTGAGGTCTGGGAACTCTATGGTATTTTGGAATTATAAAGAATTTGTGCTTTTATTTTAACAATATTGGTTATATTTAGATGTATTCTTATTAATTGAAATACAGATTTGTAGAAGTAATACTTTAACAGTTTTTATTAATATAATATATTCAATTTTTATCTGACCATACCGAAGTAGGGAATTTTGAAAATATAGTAATGTGAAATTTGAATTACATTACACGATATTACATAATTAGTACTTATTTTAGGTAGGTACTAAATTTGTACTTGGAGAAAGTAATATCGATTTTTACAAGAAAACTTGAAAAGTAAATTAATTTAGTTCTTATTTCTGATGTAAAACTTAAACCAAGAAAACAAATAAATTGTAGTTTGTTCAACAAGGGTGGATATGATAGCCATATCACACAAAGACGAAGTTTGAGCACGACGTCGTAGGCGGAGTACTCAATCGTCTGATTGTGATATGAACAATCCACTCGATATGGTCAGTATATTTTTTCTACGACCCACTAACGAAAATCTACAAATTTAAAAAAATATTTTAGGTTATTTAGACAAAATAACTAATTTTAAAATAATTTACGAAGTTGACTAATTTATAAAATAAAATAAACATGAAAAATTAATTAGTCCTCGGCCTAGATTCGATCCCGGGCTTTTCGCATGGAAAGCAGATGTTCTGTCCTCATCTTCACCGAAACTTTCAGGACTTTTAATACTCGTAATTAAAATAGTATCATGTAGTTTGATTAAAATTTATTTTTTTTTAAATGTGGACATAATAAAAACAAAAATTTATCGAGTCTACACAAAAATTTTAATGTATATTTAATATCAATAACTAAAATATATATTGACAATTAGTTTAACAGAATTATCACTTATTTAAAAATTTTTAAATAATAGGAGTTGGGTGACCAAAATATGAACTGTGATTTGTAGATTTAATTTTGTTAAAGTGTTCTCACTACCTAAAATGGATATGAAATATATTCGTAGTTGAACGCAATAACATAATTTTTCGTTTTGTAGTATGTGCGTAGATTGGCTAATATCCATGCACAGATTACAAAATGAAAAAGTATGCTATTGCCTTCAATTGAACGAATATATTTCATATCCATTCTAGGTAGTGAGAACACTGCAAAAAAAAATAAATTCGCCAATCACCGTTCATATTTTGATCAACCGACTGCTATTATTTTTAAAATTTTAAATAAATGACAATTCTGTCAAACTAATTGTCAGTATATTTTTTAGTTATTGAGATTAAACATACAATAAAATAAGTTATTCTTTTGGAAAACGTTAGCATGGATGACTAAAGGGTATTGGGTTAATTAATTCTAAAAGTGTGGTACAAATGTTATTTTTTGTAGCCAATTCTTCAAAATTATTTTAAAATATCTTTTCAATATTGAATATTAGTTCTACAAATTCATCATTTGACAGTTGCAGATTTCCAAATGTATCTGAATTGGCGTTATCATATGCCTTTTAAAAGCAATAAAAAGAAAAATCGTCTAATTCAACGTGATCTTTGTTATATTTAAGACAGGTATCGCAGGAGTGGATCCGCAAGGCTTTTATTAAAAGGTAACCACACACATACCTGATAAAATTTTTCTGTAGCAATTCGTCTTTACAATAATTTAGGGTGTTAATAATTTCATCATAAAGTAAAATACAAGGTGTTCCATTTAAAAAACATACATTTTAATTTTCCAGGCAGAAACGTGACACCCTGTATATCCAAAGATATTTTTAAAATATGTAGGTATTTTTCAAATCCATATAACTTTTATTTAAAACTTTCTTGCGTGTCTACAACAAAATAATGAACAATAACGCACTAATGAGACACCCTGTATAAATTATATTTTTAACAATGAAAATTTCTTATAATGTAGTACTTATCGGTTTGGGTCCTTGGGAAAACTAAAGAATGTTTTCTTGCAGGTATAACCCTTATTAAAACAGCTTTTGACTGCACAAACTCATTCTACTCACAGCTAAAGAGTCACCAAAATAATAACAGTACCTTTAACTCAAACAAAATCAACGAAATTATAGGCTCCACGAAATTATACAATCAACGAAATTATACGCACGACTCAACACCTTACCTAAGTACGCTTCTGAACACCAAAACCGTCTTTTCCCTTCGAAGGCGGAGCTTAAGCGATGCGCGACGAAATCGACGCAAACCGTTGCCGCCAAGAGAGTGTTTTAGCTGTATTGTATAAGCTGTGGTATTAGTTCCTTTACTATTTGTTATTTATTATAAATGCTTTATATGTATAGATGGTATGTTATGTGAAAATAACCCTTGAGTTATGTAATATTAATAAATGCTAGGCTAGAAAAGTTCAAAAGGAAGTGCTTACAGTGCATTGTACCTATAAGACTAAATGAGAAGTTTTAAATTTAGCAATGGAGGACAACCAAAGATGTATGACTGACCAGCTTACTGAACTAAAAGATAAAAACAATGAACTCACTAAAGATATTGAAAACTTAACCAAAGACAATAAGTTGCACTTAAATAAATTGAGAAACCTTCACATTAACTTTAAAGATAACAACCTCCAAAGCAAGCACAATGATGTACCAAAAAATGTAGAAAACGAAAAAAGGGTTCTAATTTTATCAGATAAAACTGGAAGAGTTTGGACAGGGAACAATTTGGACAAGATAATACATCAGTCGAGATAATTCTAAAACCTGGGGCACAACTTGATAAAATAATAGAAGACATTGCAAATCTCACAAGAACATTTACCTCGAATGATTATGTAATTATTATAGGTGGAAAAAACGACATTTTCAAAAATAGGTATCCTAGCATTAGGAGTATTAATTATAAATTAAAACACTGTATTCATACATATATTATATTCTTATCGATACCTCTTCTTAAGACAAATATCAATCAGGCTATTAAATTTAATTCTAAACTAGAAGATTTCCTAAATTAAGTTGATTGGTACCAACAAAAATATTTTTCTTTTATAAATGTTAGTAATGAAAAAGGGTACATAAAATAAATAATTTTAAATTGTAATTTTTACTTGAAAATAAAATATGTTTAGAAAAGAGCCAAAATAATTTAGTTTCTGTTAAAATTGGGGACCAGGCGATATGGAAACGAAAAGTCTTCATCAAATTGTAAAAGATTGTGATGAAAATTTTCTTGAAAATTCTTATATTAATTGTAATGATTCTGTTAGTTCAAATAAAGATAGTACTCAAATTGAGGAATAGACCTTTTCATCATATCAGGAGCGCAAGCGCAGCCACCATGTTGAAATAGCGGTAATTCAAGAGTTTCGTACTGTTTTGATCGACAATGGCTGGAAAAGCAATATTATCTCTACAGCAAAATTAATCATTAGAAAAAAATCGTAGATGGTGATTAACTTTTTTATAACTCTGTGGAAGCGCATAGTTGTGAGCAGTTGAAAAGGTGGTTGAAGTGTCTTGGATGTTTGCTACAAACGAAAAAAGGGAACTGATTGAGAGGTTAGGTGTATCAATACTGCTTAACTGTGTAAAAAATTAATGAAAACAAATAATAATTGTAACTCCATTCTAATTAATTATGCTAACAAACTATTAGTACTTGCAAAAACACTTTAACATGATAGTTAATCACTAGTATAATTAATAAAATAAATGATTTAATATTTTGAGGATCATTATGACATTTTTAATCATATTACTGTGTATACCGAAGTAGTATTTAATATTAAAAAAAATATTGTGTAATACCAGATAAGAATTTTCTTCTGTTGGACCATTTTCTCCATGAAAATGTAGTGAATAAATATAAGTATCTTTAGTAATATCATCAATCCATCGAAAACCGTTGTCAGTTCGACCACATATTTTTACACCTAATGCACATTTTGCGCTTTTTGAACATGTTTTAATATGGATTATTGGCCTGATAATTTGATATTTCTTTACGATGTTGCAGCCAAGGCTTTGGAAAATTTATGAAATAGTATGTATTACCTTTAAATGATTTATACTGTGTGTCACAAACATACTCCATAACAACACCGTTTCGTTTCCGTATAAATAACATAATTATAATTGATTGCAATAATGTATTTTTCAATTAAGACACTAAACTTATTATTACTTTACTTTTTCTTGCTTTTTTTAAATGAATATACCTAAATTAATATTTATCGATTATACTTTTTTTATTGTGGGCATTTTAACATGCTTGTTAACAAAAACAGTACGAAAAAGATGGCCGATATTGACACATGCGCACAAAAAGAAATTGTGATGAAAA